CCCGAATCGTTCCGAATCGTGCTCCCGCTGCAGCGTGGGCCTCATTTTCGGATCGGTGTTTGGCCTCCGTCGTTCAGGATGGCGTTCTCGCCCCAGCGCGGGCCTCTTTCTCGCGCGCCCATCCGCCCGCCACCACCGCGCCGCACCACCACCACCACCACCACCACCACCACCACCACCACCACCACACCACACCACACCACCACCACCACCACCACCACCACCAGCACACCACCACCACCACCACCACCACCACAACCACGCACGCACGCACGCACGCGCACCACCACCCACTACGCACGCGCGCGCGGAGCCACAGGTCCGCTACGACACGCGTCCGCGGATAGAGAAAATCAGCGCCATGGTAAGGGATGGGAGGGAGGGGTAGGACGTCAGATATGACGCGAGCGCACCTAGCTTGCCCCCCCCCTCCCCCTCCCCCCTCCCTCCCCTCCCCTCTCTCCCTCCTCTCCCTCCCCCCCCCTCTCCCTCCTCTCCCTCCTCCCCCCCCCTCTCCCCTCCCCCCCCCCTCCCCCTCTCCCTCCTCCCCCCCCCCCCCCCCGCCGGCGGCCATCGTGCTGGATCGGCGGACGGGCGGCTCGCGACGGGAGGTTTTTGGTTTCCAGCGGGCTTCTCAGCAGGCCGCCTTGGAGACGCAGGCTGTGGAGTACTGGTGCGCGTGTGTGGAGGCCGTGCCAGGCGCGCCCTGGCCCGGCGCGCCTGGCTGCTGTCTGAGCGTCCCTCCCTCCTCCTCGTCGGCCTCCCCCCTCCCTCATTGCACGCCGGCCAATTCGCCAGTGAGTGCCCTTACCTAGCTGTTACGCTGGTGCGGGTTTCACCGCCTCGCCGCTTACGGAAAAGTGCGTGGAGGCCGTCGAGTACTGTTAACCGGGCATGTCCCTCTACAGGAGAAGTGCTCAAAAGCAGTAAGGAGATTGGATGGGGACGATTTTTGTACTACTCTTGGCCATTTGGGAGCATTTGTTGACCATTATTTTTTTCGTCCAAGATCCGCCTGTAGGGGGACGTGCCCGACCTGAGTGTGCTGGGCCGTGCGCTGGAAGCGGAGGCCGTGGAGCACTTGGCTGCGGTGCTGGAGAGGCGGGCGGATCGGGCGGCGGCCGCCGCGCAGGGGGCCGGCGGGCGGGCGGGCGGCGCGGGGCGGCCGGGCTGGGGCGTGCGGTGCAGCTCCTGGGAGGGCCGTGTGGCGGACGCAGGCTGTGGAGTGCTGGAGCGTGTGTTGAGGACAGGTGCAGCAGGGCAGCCGATCAAGGAGCCTCCTCCCGAAGAGCCGGGCCAGCGTCTCTCGACGAAGTCGCCGGAGAGGTGGCCCAGCTTCTGGAGCACGCTCGCCCCTCCGGCTTTGAAACGAGCACCTGGCCCAGGTTTGGTTTAAGAAACTTCCCGGAAGCTGGCCCAGGTTTCTTCAATGATCATTGTCTTGATCATATATGTTGTTGTACTCTGGGTTTCTTAATTTGCGTGGAGTGGTACCCCACCGACGGGGTCAACCTCGCCTCGTCGTCGCGCCGCGGCGGGAGCGCGGAGCGCCTTCGGCGCGCGGTGGCTGCCCGCGCGCGGGTGCGGAGAGCCGTCTTGCAGACGCAGGCTGTGGAGTACTGGAGCGTATTCCCGGATAGCTCGCTGACCGCTAAGAGGGTCGGGGGCGGCAAAGCGGGGGGTGATGTCTAGCGGGGGGGATATCATGGCGTGGGCCGTAATATCTCCCCAGATGTCACGGCGCCTCTTCTTATTTCATTACGTCCCTAGCCCCCCTTGGGCCGCGCACATGCCGCCAGCCATGATTTGCATCCCCCCTTTTGGACGCCCCCCTCTTGGCCGCCCCCGAGAGGATTTCCGATTAAGAAGCCGGAGCCGCAGGGAAGCCCCAGAGATCGTTCTGGCGTCGGTCCAGGCTCCTTTGGCGCGCCCTGCTTGAAGTTGCAGCGTGTCCCGAAGGCCCTTTTCTCAGCGTTTCCCGACGCGCGTGCCTGGGAGCTCTCCAGAAGGTCCTTCGGAAGCTCTCTCCAGGTCCTTCCAGAGATCCTCGCCAGGCCTTTCCACGCCCTTCGTTTGCCCTGCTATCTGGGTTTGGGACTCCACAAGTGTTGAGGACAGGTATGGTGGGGCACTGCGTCTGCTGAGTATTCGGCGTGGTGTTGGAGAGGCGTGCGGGACGGGCGGCAGAAAGTGGCAGCGGGCGGGCTCGGGTTTGTCATGCAGCGCTTGATGGGGCTGTCTTGGAGACGGGGGCTGTGGAGTATTGGGGTATGTTGGAGACGGAGGCCGTGGAGTCGTGGGTGTTGCGTTCGAGACGAAGGGTGTGAAGCATTGAATGTGGTGTTGGAGAGGTTGGTGTCCACATGCATTATGCCAGGTCGACCGTGCCACTCATGTGTCCACACGCGTTCTGCCAGGTCGAAGGGGCATTTGGCTCTCACGAGAGAGCCCAGCCGTTCCACCTATGTGTCCATACACGTTCTCTTAGGTCGGCCTTCTCACCTATGTGGCCAAATACGTTCTGCTTGGTCGAGGGGCATGTGGTTTTCACGAGAGAGCCAGCCGTGCCACCTATTTGTCCAAGCACGTTCTGCTGAGTCGCAAGGACATCTGGGTTACAAGAGAGAGAGCCGGCCGTGCCACCTGTGTGTCCACATGAGTTCTGCTAGCTCGGGCGTGCCACCCGCGTGTCCACACACTGTCTGCGAGGTTGACAGGACATGCGGGTTACACGGGAGAGCCGGCCGTGCCTCCGATGTGTCCACGTAGATTTTGTTTGATCGGCCGTGCCACCTATGGGTCCACACACGTTCTGGTAGGTCGAAGGGGCATCTGGCCTTGCACGAGAGACCGACCGTGCCACCTATGTGCTCATGTACGCGCTGCCAGGTCCGAAGGATATTCGCTTTTCACGAGAGCGCCGACCGTGCCACGTATGTGTCCACACACGTTCCGCTAGGTCGGTTGGGCCACCTATGTGTCCACATACGGTTTGCGAGGTCGAACGGTTCACCTCGCCTTCATGAGAGAGCCGATTGTGCCACTTATGTGTCCATCCACGTTTTGCTAGATCGGTCGTGCAACCTAAAAGTCCATACACGTTCTGCTAGGTCTGTCGTGCCTCCTGTGTGTCCCCATTCGCTCTGCTAGGTCGGCAGGCGATGCGTTCACGAAAAAGCCGACACTACCACCTATGTGTTCGCATATTTCCTGTTAGGTCGGCCGTGCCACTTGTGTGTCCAAATACGTTCTGCGATGTCGAAGTTGCATGTGGCTTTTACGAGAGAGCCCATCCGTTCCACCTTTGCGTCCATATACGTTCTGCTTGGTCGGCCGTGCCACTATTGTGTTCACATGCGCCTGCTAGGTCGAAAGGACATCAGGCTCTCACGATAGAGTTGCCTATGATATTTTGTTCCCGTATGCTGCCTGCTAGGTCGAGGTCGAATGGACATATAGTTTTCGCTCGAGAGCCGCCCGTGCCACCTTCGCGATGCCTTCTTCGAGGTCGGCCGTGCTACCTATGTGCCCACAGGTGGGCTGCTGGGTCGAACGAAGACGCTTCTTCCACGAGAGGGCCGACCTTGCTTCCAATGTATCCACATCGGTTCTGCTAGGTCGGCCGTGCTGTCTACAGGTCCACATACGTTCTGCTAGGTCGGAAGGAAATCTGGCCTTCACTGGGGAACATATTGGGCCACCTGTGTGTCCTCCTACGTTCTTCTGGGTCAGCCGTGCCTCCTATGTGTCTACATACGTTCTGCTAGGTCGGCCGTGCCAACTATGTGTCCACGTAAGGTCTAAAGGGTATCTGGTTTTCACAGGAAGGCCAACCGTGCAACCCATGTGTCCGCATACGTTATGCTAGGCCGGCCGTGCCACCGATGTGTTCACGTACGCTCTGCTAGTTCAGAAGGACATCGGGCGTTCACGAGAGAGCCGACCGTGGCACCTATGTGTCCGCATACGTCCTGCCAGCTTGGCCGTGCCAAATATGTCTCCACACACGTTGTTTTTGGACGGCCCTGCCAGTTACGTGTACATATGTTTCTGAAACATGTCGATACGCATGTGAACATATACACATTAATTTAGACATGTCAATGGAATGATCAGTTTTGTATTCATGTGTTTGCACGCATGCATACATGCATATGCATCGGGAGGGCGAGCCGCAACACGAGGCAAACCACTGCCACATATTTCTCTTTGCCGTCGAAGCTCGAGCCGATGCGCCTCCCGCGGGCCGCCGGGAGGCCTGGGCATGGCCTCGCCCCGCGCCAGCGCGAGCTCTGCCAGCGGCCCCAGGCCTTCCGCGCCGCCTCCGATGGCCTCGAGCAGCGACGTGAGCAGCTTGGTGGAGCACCTGGCGGAGGCCGAGCAGCTCCTGAGCGGCGGCAGCAACGTCAGCGGCTCCAACTCGGGAGTGGCCAACGAGGACCGAGGAAGAACGAAGGGCACAAGCAGACACTGCCGGAGCTCCGCCCGGTAGTCTCAAAGGGCCGCCCCTCCTTCCCCACCCCCTGGCGGCGCCTCCGGCGCCGCCCCTGGCGCGCTCTGCGCGCCAGGGAGGGGGGGGTCCAGCGCTGACCCGAGAAATGTACGCGCAGCTCCGAAGGGTTCGGCTCATGCCGCTCGCCACTCCCGCCCCTCAAGGGAGGAAGAACCACCCGGAACGGACACTTGGCGTTCACGAGACGGCCTTGGGCGTTTCCTGAACAGCCATGCCTTGTGTGATTCCTTCTTCGAGCGCGTTTGCGAAACGGCTCCGCGTGTCGGGGTGGTTATTATCGGGGTGGATGTTCTGCCCGAGTGACCTAAAACGAAGCTTTTTGCATCCGTTGTGGGGTGGGGGGTCTTCCTTGGCATGGGGGGGGTGGGACCCGCCACGCAAGTAATCCTTTCGCAATTCGCCACGAAAGGAATCCTTGTCGAATCCGGCACAAACGGATTTCGATCCTCGCGAGGAGAGGGACTCCGTGATCGAGGCGACGGCGGAGATGGACGAGATCGAGCACTCCGCCGGCGACCTGTCGAGCAGCCTCTGCGGCACGCGGTCGGAGGTGGGCAGCGAGGCGAGCCGGCTCCCGGCGTCCGGGGGGAGCTCGGCCGACGGGCCCATGGCGGATCAGGCGGCCGCGGCGCCGCAGGATGTCGGTATCGTTTATCCGACCCCATTCTTCCTCCTCTTCCTCCTCCTCCTCCTCCATCCCTCCTCCTCCTGCTCCTCCGTCCCTCCTCCTCCTCCGTCCCTCCTCCGTCCCTCCTTTTCCTCCTCCTCCTCCTCCTCCTCCTGACCGTAGCCATTTTGGCTCAAGCCATTTTGGCTCAAACCATTTTGGCTCAAGAAAACCATTTCCCAAGGCAGCTGGCCGTTCAGTTCTGTTCCTTTCCATAACTCACTAGTCCGGGACGGCAGCCCAGCCTGCGGTGCCGCTCCATATCAGCAGAACGAAGTTTACCTTCGCACAATTACGCACTCAACTAATTCAATTGCAGGTATTTGGCTTGACTGTTCTCTCGCTTGGCATCGGACAGGCGGTACGTGGTCTAGCTCAGTTCAATACTTCCGAATGGGTTCAGACTCAGCCTCAGCATCCTCCCGAAGCGATTCTCAAAGCAGAAGCCAAGCCAGTGGACACCGACGCGATCGACGCAGACATACTGAAAAGGCGCAGTGAGAGAGATAGAGACCGTGACCGTGATCGACACCGCCGACGCGATAGGGATAAACGCCACCATTCTTCTGCTTCCGAAGGATCACGCCAGCCGCCCAAAGGACAGAGTGGACGATTTAAACAACCTCTCGGACGCGAAGCCTCTGGAGCCCCTCAAGGATTTCACTCAGCTGCTACTCAAGAAGCCTGGCAACGGGCCGCTCAAGAAGAATTGGATGCAGCACCGACTCTCCCCTCTCAAGAGCAAACACAGTGGCAAGCCCATCAAGCATAGCGAGAACGAGATTGGCGCGAAGCTCAAGTAGCCCACCGAGCTCATGAAGCCGCCCGGCTTGCAGCAGAAGCCGATACGGTTGAACAGCACTGGTTGGCACATCAAGCCGCTCAAGCAGCTCAGCAACGCTGCCATATTTACAGCAGCACCAACTGCCGCCGCAGCCAGCTCTGGACCAATGGCATCAGCACAGCCACGCCTACAGGAGCACCTTGGCCGCAGTCAAATCTTGCACCAGCTATTCAGCACGAGCTCAAGCAGATCATGGCATCGCAGGTCGCCGCCATCAATACAGCCGTCGGCAAAACCGTCTCAGCCTCGCAGACTCCATATCTCGCCGCACTACAGCGACACGAAGCAGCTACTACCCGCAGGATGGCCAAGAGCGAGATCTCATGGGAATCAAGACCGCACGAGCAAAGCAAGAAACCTAGCACCAAGAGGAGTGCAACCCAGCGTACCAACCAGCAGCTTAGCCTCGGCGAAGCAGAGGAACCCATATTCGACATGGCCAAACTACCGGGCTGGGATCGCGAGCCAGATCCCACCATCTTCGCGGAGCCCGTGGCCACTGTCACCGTTCGCACCTCCATCACCGAGTGGCTCGACGCAGCAGAAGTGGCTCCGCGGCTGTTTCAGATTCATGGAGAAGGACCGAATCGGCGTTCCATCTTACAACTCCTTGGAGGTCGCTCAGTCGCCATCGCCAAATCCGCGGGCCTTGCGCGGGCACTTCAGTTACCATGCCTCGGTGGCTACAGACAGTTCGCAGTTCAGACGCCAACCAACAGCGTCATCAACAATGGCCAGCACGTTCCGCTCTACGTCAAGCCCGGCAAGAACATCCAGCGCATCAGAATGGAATATTAAGCAAAAAAGCTGCTCGCCCTCTTCTCTCAGACTCAGACCCCACGCGCAATTTGCGCGCGCGTCGCGACCAAGGGCGTATACTCTGCAACGCCATCCTCACCGACAAACTGGAGCTCACTAGCATGGACGCGGCAACCATGACTCGTTGGAACCAAGATGCGCTGGCCAAGGTTTCCATCAACAAGGCCACTATCGCTGTATAGTGTGCCACTCTCTACAAAGCCGAGGACGCAGTGCAGTGGATTTAACAGACGCTGGTCGCCATGGCGGACTACTGAAACTGATGCTGATCACGCGCGCCCTTCTGGACCTGGCGCACCTACAGGGCAGCGGCCGCGTCCTCTGCGGCACCTCCGACCAGCACTTGAACAGGGCCCACCTTGTCCTGCCGCTGCTGACGCTCCGCAGCTTCCTGATCGCGCCCCGCGTGAACCCGGGCAAGCTCCGCAGCATCACAGGTCCCATCCTGCACGGGCCGCGCCGCGACGACAGGCGCACGGGCGCCGGGCCGCCCCGAAGGATTGGAGAGCCCTCCAGATAATATTTCAGTTTTCACGGGCCTGGAGAGCCCCGCAGCGGCACTTCTCCCCCAGCATGACTTACTTCACTCAGCTCAAGCCCTTCTTCTTCCAGAGCAAGATCGTCTCCTCGAGACCGACGGGGCTCAGGCGGCCTCAGGTCTCGGGATTCAGCTTAGCATCGGTCAACGCTTCTTCTTCTTCCAGTGCCAGCAGCTCATCTTCCTCTTCCTCGCCCAGCACATCTCCGCGCACTCGTCGCGCCAAGCCGACGCGGACTACTGCCGGGCCTACTGCCTCATCGGCCGCAGGCAGCTGCATCTGTTGGAATGCCAGAGGCCTTCTTTGTCATGATGACTGCGAGAGATGGGTGCGTATAAGGCAGGTCACCGCATTCATGCGCAAGCAGGCCCTGGTAGCCCTGCAAGAAGCGCACGGCTCCCAAGTGGATTTCGAATCGCACATCGGCAAACTTCCGCAGGATTATCAAATGCATGTCAGCAGCTGCCCCCCTCAAGCGCGGTAAAGGTGGAGTGGCCTTTTTGGTTCTGGGACCTACGTCGACCACTACATCGACGTCGCTCTGGCCATTTATCCGCGGGCGAGCGGCTGTCCTGCGCGTTGCTAATCACACCGCGGGCTTCGAGGCGCTCATTATGAACGTGCACAATCATGACTTTGTGGCAGCAGACATGGACAGAGCGGCCGAGGCGCGGCGCGCCTCGCGGAGCTGGGCAGCAGCAGCGCCCGAGCAAAGACTCTTCATCTCCACGGGCGGCTTCAATGCCAGTGCCGCCCCCTCCTTCAACTTCAAGGATCTCCCTGCCCGCTGGCGGCCTATGGCACCTGGCGGGCAATGTCAGCGAGAGCAGGCGCGGTGGCGCCAACTCTTTGCCTCGCTCAGAGATCACGCACGACCTCTCCGCGCGCTTCTCGGCGAGCGCGCAAGCGGCCGCGGCAATCGACCGCATCTTCATCGCCCTTTCGGGCATCGACTTGATGGGCGTGGATGCGCGCCCGCAGATTCGCAAAGACGGTGCAGCATTGCCCGACAAAGGCCTCAGTGATCATGACATTCTTCCTCTGCTTCTGGTCAACGCCTCAGCCTTACGGCCAGAGGAGCTAGCTATCGACCCGATTATCTCCCACGACCCCGCCGACCAGCGCCACTTCAATTTTCTGAAGGGCAATTTTGCCAAGGCTGCGTTCCGCCTAGCGTGGCCTGGAAGCAGCGCGAGCTCATCCTCGAAGAATCGGCGAGACTCATTCGCCACCTTCAGCAGCGCGCCTCCCTTCAAGACCACAGTCGCTGGGCAAAGCATGGCAGGCCCACAGCTCTTCGCGCAATTTCACGGGCGATTTGGAGAAAGGATTCAGACACAGCGTCGCTCCTCATGGCCACGACCGACATCGGCAGCGCGCGCCTGCGCCTCATGGGCGACGGCCCTGAGCTCGCGAACAGGGGCGGGCGCATCAAGCGGACACGGCGGTCACCGCCGACTACGACAGACGCGTCGCCCTCGCCGCGAAGCGCCAGCTGCTGTCCAACGCCGAGATGCAGTTGGACCAGGCCGGCAGTCGGAAGGCCGCGTTGCAGCTCACGCGCCAGGCGCAGGCCTGGAATCCGTTTCGCTGTCGACTCGTACTTTCAGGACTTAGGATACCGAAAGAGGGGGCGCCAACAACATCCCTCACCACCACCAATTCCCCAGAGGGTATCGTCGGAGGCCTCCAGAAGTTTTGGCAGCCCATCTTCTCGCAAGATCGTGGACCCCGTGGCGGTCCTGCAGCGCCTGTCCCAGCACCTCCCCAAGTTCGACTGCGCGGACCTAGGGGTTCCAGCTCTTCAGGACTTTCAGAGGGCCCTCCGCCAGGTCAGACATACCGCTCGAGGCCCAGATCAGATTCCATACGCTGCATGCGCCACCCCCCTGGATCTTCTCATATACTCTACGACCTCACGATGTAGACGTTCGAAACGGGCCTGGCCCCGCACCAGTTCAACGACTCGGTCTTCGCGTTTCTTCCGGAAGGAGACGAACCCCAGGGCCAGCGCGCCGTCTGTCGAGCTCCAGGTGCCACGCGCCCCCTATCCTTAATAACTGCGGCGCCAAACTGATCGCTCGCGTCGCGGCCATGGGTCTCGTGGACGCGGTCAGGGGTCGGACAATAGACGCGCAACAGGGATTTGTAAGGGGGCGGAGCGTCGGACAAGACGCACCGACCCTAGACGCTGTGGCCCGTGGAGCAGGTCACCCCCCAGATGCCCCTGATGCCCCCCCTGTTCTTGTCAGCTTTGACACCAAAGCTGCCTTCCCATCCTTGGGATGGGAGTTTTTGTTTGCGTCGCTGGCAGCTCACGGGGTCCCCCCAGGCTACCTCATTGTCATTGTTATGCGCTTTGTCATGCCCCAGGGGCCTGGGCCCGCGTAGGTGGCCGTCTCCAATGCGTGTTCGAAATCGGCGCAGGTGTTCTCCAAGGCTGCCCCCTCTCGGGGCCGATATGGGCCCTGGGTTTTGATGCACCTATTAGACACTTAGTCCAGATTTTAAGCGCCCTCCCTGGTACAACAAGCTCCGTGCCTGCGCAGATGATCTGGGGCTCGTCCTCGCTCGCCTCGCCCCCCCCTTCCTCCTTCCTTCGTTTCGGGTCATTGCTCTTCTCGCAGGACTCGAACTACAGATCCAGATAACAGCGGTTGTGCCCTTATGGGGCCCCTTTTTCATCTGCCGTGCCCTCTCTCCCCCAACGCCTCTCAGCATTGATGGTGCCTGAGTGGCAGCGCATTCAGATTTCAGAATACGCTCGGTATCTAGGCGCGCCCATCGGCCCAGCAGTAACTTTAGACATCACATGGGAAGCCGCACTTGATACATACTTGCTGCCCGTGGTACAAGTAGCGGCGAGCGTCCCTGACCCCGCAGTCGCGCTCAAACTGCATAACACATGTGTTATCACTGTCTTCTCGTACCTCACACAGTACTTTCCATTTCCAGTCACGTTCCTGCGGCGCGGACGTGGCACCCTGCAGGAGATTCTCAGCCCCCCCTCCAACTCCTGGCGCCTCGTCGACCTCCTCGGTGCTCGCTCGTGGTCGCAATCGTCCTCCCCCAGTTCACTGATCACGCTTTTACTGGCCTCAGCGTGGCGCGCGGCCTCTGCCGCGCTTCCCGACTGGAAGCCACAGCATCGCTCTCTAGTATTCGCTCAAGACCAGGTCAATCCAGATCTGTCTCTGGCGGATTTTGAGCCAGGCCCGTGTTCGGGCCGCCGTTTCTCCTGCGTTTTGGAAGAGCCCTGGCATCGTCGAATACTGGCGCGAGCTTGCTGACAGCAAACTACCGTGCTCTGTCTCACCGCTCGTCTGGCGAGCAGCCCAGCGAGCGGCCGCAGACGAACAGACTGCCCCTGTTCGAGAATCCACGCGCGTTAGGGTCCAGCGATCCCTCGCTGAGGTCCTCCACTCCTCCCTTTTTCCCTGACAATTTCGCAGAGACCCCGGCGCGCCGTCTCTCCTCGGCGCTGCCCGATCTCGCAGTGCCACTGAATCTGCCCGACCGTTGGCAGGCATTAGCCAGCTACCTCTCGAGGAAGGCTCCAACCATTCGTTGGGCCGTATATAAGACTCTGGCGGGAGCGTGGTGGACCAGCCACCGCTTCCTCTTCGGACCGCGCCGCACCTGTCTGCTCGGGTGCGATACTTGCCCAAATCGCCTCGGCCATTACCTCACCTGCCCCCGCCTCCTTCACTTCCTCGCGTTACCTCGTTCTTTCCTCGGACCCCCTCGTTCGCATCGGCCCAGGGACGCTTGGGCAACACGCTAACCCGGAGCACACCATTCCTGAAACTGTCCGTCGCACAGCGCTTTCATATCAGTTCTATAACAAGCTGCGTGCCATCACGCACGCCGCGCCGCGCGCAACGCTTCTTTACACTACTGGCACTGAATGCCTCGCCACTGCACTGCACGCGGTGAGGCCGTAGCTTGAGACGAACTTGAGCGGGGACACTTGCCCTCTTCTCGTGTCTTGCCCGCTTGCCCTCGTCTCTTCCTTTCTTGGTACGGTCGCTCCTCCTCCTCCTCCTCCTGACCTTCCTCTGCCTCCTTCTCCTCCACGTCCTCCTTTTCCTCCCCCTCCCCCTCCTCCTCCTCCTCCTCCTCCTCCTCCTCCTCCTCCTCCTCCTCCTCCTCCTCCTCCTCCTCCTCCTCCTCCTCCTCCTCCTCCTCCTCCTCCTCCTCCTCCTCCTCCTCCTCCTCCTCCTCCTCCTCCTCCTCCCCCATTGGGGCCCCGGGGTGGCGCAGCCCTCCAGGCGCCCTCGGCCGCAGCGGGGCGTGCATCCGTCGGGCCGCGGACGAAGGGACCTCTTTCGTTGGAGAGGGGTTCCGTGTTCACCGGTTGTTCATTTTCGTTCAACCGACCCCCATCAACATCCCCATCCCCTTCGAGACCCCCACCAAATTACCCCCCCAATTGGGGATACACCCCTCGAAGCCCGAAGGGAGCGGCCTGCATCCCCATCTGGAGGGGTACATCGGCCAGTGGGGCCCAGGCCACGCCGGTAGGCATGGGGATCGGTTGCACGATGCTCAGGATGATGACGGGTTCCAGCTCGAGTTCGGGCCAGGCGCAGGGGGGGAGGATCCGTCGAAGAAGAAAAAGCGCCACAAACAGAAACTTTCGATTTTCCGTGCGGTCTTCTTGGATCGGCGCCTGGCCCCCCCTGGCGGCGCCTCCGGCGCCGCCCCTGGCGCAATCCGCGCGCCAAGGACGTGGGTCCGGCGCGGATCCAGGAAGTCCGTTCGGACCTACAAAAGTGGATGTGTTTGTGGTGTTTTGTTCCTCTAATCAGGGACAGCATAATCGACCCCTTGCAAGCCATCCCCTTCCGTGACGTCTCCCTCGTCTCGCCCCAAGACGTACGCATGCAGTCAGCAGGGAGCTCGCAAAGCAATGATGGCGCCACGGAAGGGGATGAATTTGCTGGGGGTCGTTTTGGCCGCGCCCGAGAGGAGAGGGTCCCGATACCGCTGCCCTTTCCTCGTTTTCGTTCTGGCTTCGCACCGAGATGTCGCTCACAGCGTGCCCTTCGAGAGGCTGGGAGCGCAACGGTATCGGCTGAGCTTCGGTTCGCCAGGCAGGCAGCGTTTCAGAACCATAAGCTTTCGGAGCTTCGCGCGGACTTCTCGGGTGGGCGCTGGGCCCCCCTGGCAGCGCCTCCTGCACCGCCCCTGGCGCGCTCCGCGCGCCAGGGAGGGAGGTCCAGCGCCGATGCAAGAACTCCGCGCGGGCCTCCGAAAGTTTCTAGTTATGCCGATGTGTGTTTCTCGAAGGCACCAGCGCCAAGGCGCTTTCGCTGTGGCAGCGGCTGCATGATGCGAAGAACGCCTTTATGGCCACCGACACGGATTTTCTCGAGATGCAGACGTCCATGGAGTCGGCGGCCGAGGCCAAGAACAACGAGATCTCGACTATGCAGATGGAGCTCGACGAGGCGCGCCAGGAAAAGAGCGACAAGATCCTGGAGCTGCAGAAGGAGCTCGACGAGGCGCGCGAGGCAAAGAACACCATGTTGATGAAGATGCAGCAGCAGCTGAACGACGCACGGATCGCCTCTGCCAAGAACATGATCATCCAGAAGAGCCAGCTCGGCAGGGAGAGGCACATCCTGAAGAAGCAGCTCGAGGTGGCGGAGAAGCAGCGGGCCAAAGCCCAGGCCGAAAAGGAGATACTCAAGGCCAATGTCATACACATGCAAAAGACCGTCTCGGCCCTGAAGGGCAAGGATTCGGGGAACTGACAAGGACATAAACGTAAACGTTCGGAGGTCCGCGCGGATTTATTGCGTCGGCGCTGGACCGTCCTCCCTGGCGCGCGGAGCGCGCCAGTGGCGGCGACGTTGGCGCCGCCAGGGGGGCCCCAGCGCCGACTCGAGAACTCCGCGCGAACCTCAAAAAGTTTATGTCCATGGCATTATAGTTGTTCGCCTAAGGATTCGTCCTCCTCCTCCTCGAACCTCAGCGAGAACGTCAGCGAGGGCCACGAGGAGGACCCGCTGAGCCAGCCGCACCCCGAGGTCGACGCGCCGGACGAGGCGCACGACGACATCGCCCCGCTGCCTCTGCCACGGCGCGGGCAGATGGAGGTGGGAGACCTGAGGGTCAACATCAGCAGCATCATCATCATCATCATCATCATCATCATCATCATCATCATCATCATCATCATCATCATCATCATTACCATCATCATCATCATCATCATCATCATCATCATCATCATCATCATCATCATCATCAGCAACGTCATCATCAGCAACGTCATCATCAACGTCATCAGCATCATGAGCATCATCATCATCATCATCATCATTACCATCACCATCATCATCACCATCATCATCGTCATCGTGATCATCATCGTCGTCATCAGCATCATCATCGTCATCATCATCGTCATCATAATGATCATCATCAGTATCATCACCAGAATCGTCATCATCATCGTCATCATCGCCATCATCACTATCAGAATCATAATCCTCATCGACAGTCTCATCCTCATCCTCATCATCGTCCTCATCATCAGCTTCATCACATCAGAAAGAGCGTGTTCTACCGCTGCTGGCAGAAAACTGGCGGGGTCACTGGGGGGTCCCAACCCGTCCCCCCCATCCCTCGAAAACTGGGGGGGTGTCACTACTGGTTCGAACTCCCCCCTTCCCCCCCAGAGTCCATCATGAAAAGAGGGGGGTCACTAACGGTTCGAACCCCCCCACCCTCGCCGCTGGCAAGCGACGATTCTCGCTCCTCGGGACAGAGGGACAGTGGTGGGGACAGTGGGACAGTGGTGGAGACGGTGGTGGTGGGGACAGTGGTGTAGGGACAGTGGGACAGTGGCGGGGACAGTGGGACAGTGGTGGGGACGGTGGTGGTGGGGCCAGTGGTGAGGGGACAGCGGGACAGTGGTGGGGACAGTGGGGACAGTGGGACAGTGGTGGAGACAGTAGTGGTGGGGACAGTGGTGAAGGCAGCGGTGAGGACGGTGGTGGTGGGACAGTGGTACAGTAGAGAGAGCGGTGGGGACACTGGAGACAGTGGGACAGTTGTGGGGACAGTGAGGACAGTGGGACAGCACAGTGGGGCAGCGGCGGGGACACTGGGGGCAGTGGGACAGTGGTGGGAACAGTGGGGACAGTGGGACAGTGGTGGGGACAGTGTGGACAATGGGGAGAGTAGGACCGTGGTGGGACAATGGTGGGGACAGTGGGGACTGTGAGACACTGGTGGGGGCACTGGGGGGGACAGCTGGGACAATGGTGGGAACAGTGGGGACACTGGGACAGTGGTGGAGACAGTGGGACAGTGGTGGGGACGGTGGTTGTGGGGACAGTGGTGTGGGGACAAGGGCAGTGGTGGGGACAGTGGGACAGTGGTGGGGACGGTGGTGGTGGTGACAGTGGTGAGGGCGATGGTGAGGATGGTGGTGGGACAGGGGTATAGTTGTGGGGACAGTGGTGGGGACAGTGGTGGGAACAGTAGGACAGCTCAGTGGGACAGTGGGGACAGTCGGGACAGCGGGATAGTTGTGGGGACCGTGGGGGAAGTGGGGAGAGTGGGACCGTGGTGGGAACAGTGGTGGGAACAGTGGTGGGGAAAGTGGGGACAAAGCGACGGTGGTGGGGGCACTGGTTGGGACGGTAGGGACGGTGGTGGGAAAAGTGGGGACAGTGGTGGTGTGGACGGTGGTGCTGGGGACAGCGGTGGGGGATATGGTGCGGACCTGTGGTGGGGATTCGGCAGTAGTTTTCCGGCGGTGAGGGGGGGGGAGGGGGGGGATTCGAACCAGTAGTGACCCCCCTTGGTTTTCTGGAGGAGGGGGGGTGGGAGGGTTAGAACTGGTAATTAGTGACCCCCCCCAGTTTTCCGGGGGGGGGGGTTCGAACCGGTAGTGACCCAACCCCCCCGGTTTTCCGCTGTCCCACTGTCCCGAGGAGCGGGAATCGTTTGTCAGCGTCGAGAGGGGGGGTTGGGGGTGGGGGTTCGAACCGGTAATGACCCTCTCGGTTTTCTGGAGGTGGGGGTTCGAACCGGTAGTGACCCCGCCCGGTTTTTTGGAGGGGGGGGGAGGGGTTGGAGGTGGGGGGGTGCCGGGGGAATAAGGGGGAGGGGGGGGTCCAGGAGGGGGAGTGAGGGGATTTTCGAAGGGTTGGGGGGGGGGGACCCCGGGGTTCGGAAGAAAGAGGGTGGTAAATTTTCGACAGTGAAGTGGAGGTGGATCACGCACTCTCTCTCACATCACCATCAGCATAATCATCGTCATCATCACCATGATCATCGTCAGCATCGACTTCGTCATCGTCATCAGCATAATCGTCACCATCATCATCGTAATGGTCATCACCATCATCGTCATCATCACCATCGTCATCATCGTCTTCATCATGGTCAGCGTTATCATCATCGTCATCAGCATCAACATTACCATCGTCTTCGTCATCGTCATCATCGCCGTCATCATCATCACCATCATCATCATCATCATCATCGTCCTCATCGTCATCGTCATCTTCGGCATCAGCATCGTCATCATCATCATCATCGTCATCGTCATCGTCATCATCATCATCGTCATCTCCGTCATCGGTCATCATCCTCATCGCCATCAGCAAAATCATCAACATCATAGTGATCTTAATCTTCATCGTCATCATCGTCTTCACCGTCATCACCGCCATCGTCATCAGCATCAACATTAACATCGGAATCGACATCTTTACCATCATCGTCATCATCATCGTCATCTTCAGTGTCACCGTTATCAATGTCATCGTCAACGTCATCCTGACCCTCATCATTATCATCATCATCACCATCACCATCATCCTGAATATCATCATCGGCATCATCGTCATCATCACCATCATCATCATCCTCATCATCTTCATCATCATCAGCGTCATCATCGTCATTGCCCACCATCACCACCGTGATCGTCAGTGTCATCGTCGCAAACATCACCACCAGCGTGATCATCATCGTCATCGTCAGCATCACCGTCATCAACATAGTCGTCAGCGTCAGCGTCACCTTTACCATCACCATCATCATCAACACCTTAATGAATCATCATCATTGTCATCAACATCATCTTCGTTATCGTCTTGATTTGCATACTCATCATCGTTGTCACTGTCATCCGCATAATCAACATAATCATCATCGTCATCATCGGCACCATCGTCATCGTCACCGTCATCATCATAATCGTCATCCTCATCATCATCATCATCTTCATCGTCGGCATCGTCATTGCCATCGTCGTCATCGTCGTCTTCGTCAGCTTCATCGTCATCAGCATCATTGTCATCGTCATCGTGATCGGCATCAACATCATCATCATCATCGTCATCGTAAAGATCATCAGCTTAATAATCATCATCATCATCATCACAGTCACCGCCATTATCATTGCCATCGCGATGATCATTGCCGCCATCATCATGATCATCATCTTCGTCCTCGTGATTGTCAGGGTCATCATTATCATCGTCATCGTCATCAGCATCATCGTCACTGCCATCGTCGTCGATATCCCCGTCATCATCGTCATCGTCTGCAGCATCATCAACATAATCATTAGCATCATCGCCATCGTCGTCGTCATCGCCATCATCAGCGTCATCATCATCAACACCGTCAGCATCACCATCATCGTCATCATCATCATCGCCACTGTCATTGGCATCGTCATGATCGTCATCGCCGCCGCCAGCGTCAACAGCGTCATCGCCATTGTCATCGTCATCAATGTCATCATCATCAATGCCATAGTCATCAGCATCGTCATCATCATCGTCATCGTCATTTTGATCAACATCATCGTCATCATCAGCATCGTCATGGCCATTGTTAAAGTCATCGACATCATGATCATCATCGTCATCATCACTACCTGCATCATCGTCAACGTCATCGTCATGACTATTGTTGTCACCATCGTCATCGACATCGGCATCATCATCACATTATCACTATCGCAGTCGTCATCCTCGTCATAATAGTCGTCATCATCATCACCGTCTGCTTTAACCATCAGCATCATCACCATCATCATCGTCATCGTCACCGTCGTCATGTTCACCATCACCATCATCGTGACCATCATCGACCTCATCATCATCGCCATCGTCATTGTCAGTATCATCATCTTTATCGTCATCGATATCACCATGGTCATCAGTAGCATCATCATCGTCATCGTCGTCATCGTCATCATTATCATCCTCATCATTACCAGCATCATCGTCATCGTCATTGTTATCATCATCATCATCTCCGTTGCTCTCGCCATCGCCAGCATCATCATCATCATCCTCGCTATCGTCAGGATTATTAGCGGCACTATCATCAACAGCATCATCGTCGCCACCGTCATCATCATCATCGTCGTCGCCATCATCATCATCGTCGGCATCGTGATCAATGCCATCATCATCGGCATCGCCATTGTCATCAACATCATCATTGTCATCGCAATCGTCATCATTATCATCATCAGCATCGTCATCGCCACTGCCATAATACTAATTATCAACCTTGGCGCCATGAGCATCGTCATCTTTTTCTGCCATCGTCACCGTCATTATCATCATTGTCGTTGTCACCTTCAGAATCGTCATCGTCATCGTCATCATCATGGCCATCGTCGTCATCGTCGTCATCGTCATCACCACCCTCATCATCACCGTTACCATCATCATCGCCAGCGTCATCGTCATCATCAGCATCTTAACCGTGATCACCATCACCATTACCATCGTCATCGTCATCGCCATCTCCAGCATCATCATCATCATCATCATCATCATCATCCACAGTGCCGTCGTCAGCATCATCATCAGCTTAATCATCATCATCACTATCTTCATCATGATCTTAGTCATCGTTACCGCCGTCCACATCATGATCGGCATAGTCTAGATCAGCGTCATCATCGTCATCGCCATCATCATCGCCGCCACTGCAGTCATCATCGTCATCGCCATCGTAATTCGCATCGTCAACATCTTCGCTATCGTCCTCGACATCATCATGGTCACCATCGTCACCATTGCCATCACCATCGCGGTCGTCATCATCATAATCAGCATAAGCATCATCGTCATCGTCTTCATCATCAACACCATCGCCATTGCCACCGTTACCGCTATCATCAACATCAGCATCGCCATTGTTACCAGCATCGGCATTGTCATCATAATCAGTATCACCATCGCCCTTATCATCGTCATCATCAGCGTTATCATCACCAACAGCATAAGCATCACCAGAATCATCATCTTCTCCGTCGTCGTCAGCGTTATCGCCATTGTCATCGCCATCGCCATCAACGCCATCATCATCATCGTCATCGTCGTCAACATCAGCATTTCGTCATGGCCATCGTCATCTGCATCATCATCATCACCGTCATCGTCACCTTTACCGGTATCATTATCACCATTATCTTCATCGTCGGCATCACCACCGCCTTCGTCATCATTGTCACAATCGCCACCGTCAGTATCACCATCATCATCGCAATCGCCATCGTCATCGTCACGGTGGTCAACATCATCAGCATTATCATCGCCATCGTTATCGTCATCATCAGCATCGTAGACATCGTCATCGCCATTATCATCAGCACACTCGACATCGCCATCGTCATCGTGACAATCAACATCATCAACATCATAGTGTTCGTCACCATCAAATTCATAATCATCATCATCGCCATTGCCACCGTCATCGTTATCATCAGCGCCATCACCATCAACAGCAGCAACATCACCATCATTATCAGCATCATCATCGTCATTGTCACCACCATCATCATCACCGTCTCGGTCAGCGTGATCGTCATCGCCATCGCCGCAAATGTCATCAATATCGTCATCGCCATCGTCGTCAACATCATCATTTCGTCATCGGCATCGTCATCGGCATCATCATCATCGTCGTCATCGTCATCGTCATCGTTGTCATTTCCAAATTCATCGTCAAGGCCATCATCATCATTGTAACCCTCGCCGCCATCGTAAGCGTCATCGCCATCATGTATAACATCATCGTCATCATTGTCATCGTCATCATCATCATACCCGTCATCGTCACCTTCACCATCGTTATCATCATCATCTTCATGGGCATTACCGAAATCGTAATCATCGTCATCATCATCATCGTCATCATTTTCGCCATCGTATCTGGCATAAACATCATCGTTATCATCAGCATCATCATCACCGTTACCGTCGTCGTCATCATCTTCAAACTCATCATCTACGTCATCGTCACCATCATGAACATCATCAACATTCCCGTCATCATCACCGTCCCCGTCTTCATCTTCAGCACCATCATTGATATCATCATCATCATCGTCATCGGCATCATTATCCTCATCATCAGCAGCACCATCGTCAGTAACATTATCGGCATCGTCATCGTAATCGTCATCATCATCGTCACCTTCGCCGTCATCGTTATTGCCATCGTCATCGTCATCGGCGTCCCCATCAGCATCGTCATCGTCATCGTCATCGTCGTCGCCATTGTCACCATTACCAACATAGTCCTCACCTCATCATCATCATAATCAGCGTTATTATTATCATCATTGAATCCGTTATCTTCAGTGTAGTCGTCGTCGCCATCGCCATCGTCATCGTCATCATCATGATCATATTAATCTTCATCAGCATCATCATCTTCGTCAGCATCGTCATCATCATCGTCGTCATCGCCATCGTCATCGCCATCACTGGCGCCATCGCCATCGGCATCAGCATCATCATCAGCATCGTCACCGGCAGCATCATCGTCATCGTCGTCGTCATCATCATCAGCATCATCTTCATCATTATCGTCATCGGCATCATGCTTAACATCATGACCGTCCATCGTCAGCATCATCGTCGTCGTCATCATCATCTTCATATCTACCACCATCATCAACAAGATCAGCATCATCATTGTCAGCATCGGCATCGTCATCGTCATCATCAGCGTCATCGTCATCATCATCGTCATCGTCATCGTCATCGTCAGCATCACCAGCACTATCTTCATCGTCAGCATTGTCATTATCGTCGTCATCTTTGTCATCATCATCCTCATCGCCATCCCCATCATCATCAGCACCATCGTCATCATCGTCATCGCCGTCATCGTTGTCATCATCGCCATTGTCATCATCACAACCATATCAGAATCGTCGTCATGCTCGTGATAATCGTCGTCATTCTCGTTATCAGCATCAGCAGCAACACCTTCATCACCATCATCATCGTCATCACCAACATCATCAGTATTGTCATCATCATCGTAACCGTCATCATCATCATCGTCACAGTCATCAGCATCATCATCATCATCATCATCATCATCATCATCTTCCCCATCGTCATCGTTGTCATCGTCATCGTCTCTGTTCGTCGTCGTAATCGTCGTCGTGATTACCATCGTCATTCTTATCATCATGATCATCATCGCCATCGTCATCGTCATTGTCATAATCATGATAATCGTCATCATCAGTCAGCGTCATCATCGTCATCGTCATCATCATCGTCGCCTTCGCCATCGAAATCGTCATCATCATCAACCGCATCATAATCCGCATCATCATCGTCATCGGCATCCTCGTCATCATCATCGTCATCGTCAGCGTAATCATGGTCATCATCGCCATTGTCATTTGAGCCATCATCGTCACCGTTTTCGTTATTATTATCGTCGTCAGCATTATTTACGTTATCGTCATTGTTATTGTTACCATCATCATATGCAGCATCGTCATCGTCATCGTCGTCATCTTCATCATCAGCACCATCGTCATTGTCATCACCATCATCATCATCATCATCATCATCATCATCATCATCATCATCATCATCATCATCATCATCATCATTATCGTCATCATCAGCAACATCGTCATCGTCATCGTCGTCCGCGTCGTCATCATCATAAGAACCATCATCAGCATAATAGTCATTTGAGCCATCATCGTCACCATCGTCATCGCGATCATCATCGTCATCATCAGCATCGCCATCATCGTCATCATCAGCATCTTCAGCATCATCATCGGCATCATCATCGTCCTTGTCGTCGTCGTCGTCATCGCTGTCACCGTCAACGTCGACATAGTCTACATCCGCATGTCCATCACAATCAAGCTCACCATCATCATTTCCAGCAGCAGCAACAACATCAGCATCAACATCCTCATCATCTTCATCATCACCATCCTTATCCCCATCGGTCTGGGCACTGCTGCCCTTGCTTTGGTTGCCCTTTCGCGCGCGAGGTACTATCAAGTTCGAGCAATCCGCTCTCTGTCGTTGCTGGGTCTGCGTTATTGGGTTGGTTCTCCTGTGTCCCTCTGTGCGCCGCTGCTGCTGTTGCTGTGCGTTCCCTCCTGCTGCTGCCAGGCGGTTCCTCTGCTGTTGCTGATGGTGGTGGTGGTGGTTGGGTTGCCCGTCGCCGTGGCTTCGTGCACATGGATCCTGATGTGCTCGGGGGCGCGTTGGCTCGCAATGGCTCGGATGATCTCCGAGCCGACAGCCTTGCCTCTCTTGTCCGCCCTCTGCTGCGAAGAGGTGTGCGCCTCCTTCCGCGGGCGCCGGTGCAGCGCCCGGGACCGCCGGGCTAGCGGCCTGCGCATGGGCCGCGTGCCGCCCCGGCCCCCCCCCCCCTCCCCTCCTCGACTGCTGCTCTCTGCCGCTGGGCTTCTTCGATGGGTTAAAAAAGTGCGTCTCCTTCCGCGGCCTGCGCCGCCCGCCTCCCCTCCCGGACACACACACCTCGGCGGGATGCTGCCGCCGCCTTCCCTCTCGGAGCGGTCGCTGTACTGTCTGGAGTGCCGCGGGTGGAACTCCGACTTTGATCCAACGTTGATCCAACGATGATCCAAATTTGATCCAACTTTGATCCAACGTTGATCCTACTTCGATCCCACGTTGATCCAACTTTGATCCAACGTTGATCCAACGTTGATCCAACTTTGATCCAACGTTGATCCAACTTTGATCCAACTTTGATTCAGCGTTGATGCAAGGTTTTATCAGTCCGTATTTTGTTACTAATGCTAAAACTCAAAAAGCAGATGGATGTTGTGTGTGTTCAGGGGTCCTTCACCTCTGTGGCGCACCCCTGATGCGTCCAGGTTGTGGCTGCAGGCACCCGCTCGCCCTTTTGTCTGTTTTCGCCCGTGCGCGTGTTCCTGGCAAGTTCGAGCGTGCTTCCGCCCGTGCCGCCGCCGCCGCCCTCGTGGTGGTCCCTCGACTCGCGTGGCGAGCTTCGTGTATAGCCCGATCGCGCCTGACCGTCTCTCCCTCCTTCCTGCGTTGTGTGTGTTGCCTGCTGTGTCCTTGGTGCCCGTCCTTTGAGACGGTCTGGCGCTGATTGCGCTCAGTGCCTGAACGGTTTACGCCAGCCGTTGTGCATTGTTGCCGCAGGTCGTATGACTTCATCGATTGTCACCCCGTTTGTCGCCGTCGGTCCGCTGGAGAAAGGTAAGACCATCACCACAACCACCACCGTGATCAACAACAGCGACATCATCATTATCGTCCATCTGTATAAATATATCACAATCACCTCAGCATGAGCGCCATCATCATCCGTGTCATAATCGTCATTTCCATCACCATCGCAGCCGCCATCATCATCACCATCATCACCATCACCTTCACCAACAACAACAACAAATGCACCATCGGTATCATCACCATCAACAACAGCATCGCCATCATCACCGAGGTGGTGGGAGACCTGAGGATGATGCTGTCCAGCCAGCTGCCTCTAGGCGACCGCCCCGAGGCAGCAGGCGTCGGCTCGCTGTCCGCTCAGCTTCTCGCCAGCAGGCAGGTGGGCATCAAGAAACGCCGCAGGGCGGCGTCCTCGGGCACGAAGCTGGCGGTCATCGAGGAGCCCGACGACCTGGACAGCTGCGACGGGAGCAGCTATTCTGGCGGGCTGAACGTGAGCAGTGCCGCTGGGGGCGCTGGCGTGGGGGATCTCAGGGATTTCGAGGAGGTCCCAGTGGAGGTCCTCGATCCAGAGGGGCGGACAGCGCGATGCACATGAAGCTTCGGAGCTCCGCGCGGATGGCTCGGGTCGGCGCTGGACCCCCATCCCTGGCGCTCTCCGTGCGGCAGGGAGGCGCTGCCAATGGGGCCCAGCCCCGATCCAACAAATCCGCGGGGAGCCCCGAAAGTTTATGTTTGGCCCGCTCGTTCGTTCCTCTACGATCTGATCGTCGACGAGAACGAGCTCCTTTTAGAAGTCGTGGAGGTTGAGAAGCAGAAGGCCCAGGAGCTGCAGGCCACCGTGGCGGCCAAGGAGGTGAAAATCGAGACGCTGAAGGAGACCCTGAACGAGATCCAGGGGGAGCTCGAGGCCGCGAAGGAGACCGTCCGCGCGGTGTGCGAGGAGCCGAAGTGCCAGGAGGGGGCGCCGCAGCAGAACAAGGTCGAGGAGCTCACGGAGCAGCTCAACGGCCTGATGGAGGCGAACAGGATTGCGGAGGCCAGGGCGGCGGACTTGATGCGCGCGCTGAGGTCGGAGGAGATGAAACACAAGAGGGAGAAGGATCAGGAGGGAGAAAACACAGTCACACATGATTCAGCACGAACAAAATGGGTACGGAAAGAATTGGTACGATGCTCAACAGCAGTTCCTGTTCATTTTGGACAGGACTCGTTGTCCGCGCCGCCGCGGCCTGTGTCCATTTGAGACAGAAGGCCGCCTGCCCAACAGCGGGCGCTGTTGGTTTGGAACAACATGTGGTTGTTGGGCATTGTACCATTTGTGCCGTACCCATTTCGGGCGTCCGACATGATCGTAGGCCCCCAGGGGGATATCGGAAAAGATGGGGAGCGGGGGGCAAAGCGAGGATCAACATGTGGGGAGGATCCTGAGGAGGAGGAGGAGAAAGGAGGAGGAGGAGAAGGAGGGGGAGGAGGAGCAGGAGGAGGAGGAGGAGGAGGAGAGGAGAGGAGGAGGGAGGAGGAGGAGGAGGAGGAGGAGGAGGAGGAGGAGCATCTGTGTGCATTTGCTCGCGCGTCCCTGGGCCCCTCCGGAGGAGGAGCTCGTGCAGAGGCTGCAGGGGAGCGGTCGCGGCAGCGCCGGCGACGAGGGCAGCGAAATCAGCAAGCTGAAGGAGAGCCTGCGGAACATGCAGCAAGAGAAGAACGTACCCGTCGGTCGCTGAAAGTGCGCAATCCTCCTCCTCCTCTTCCTCCTCTCTCCTCCTCCTCTCCTCCTCCTCCTCCTCCTCCTCCTCCTCCTCCTTCCCCCTCTCCTTCCCCTCCTCCGCCTGCCCCTTCCCCCTCCTCCCCCCTCCTCCTCACTCCCCCCCCCTGCTCGGCCTCCCGCTTCACTCGTCCTCCCGCTCCCCCCACCCCACAAGTGCATGCGCAGGCCTTGCGGCCGGTCCCGCCGACCCTGAAGGGGGACGTCGACGACGACGGCGGCGGCGGTGGCCGCGACGACGACGACGAAGCGGACGTGGGCCCGAGTCCTCAGGGATGTTTCTTGGGGTCTCTTGGGAGGGCTCTCGGGATGCCCAGGTCGCAATCCACTCTACCCGCCGTCCTACTGTGGGGTTCGAGCGGTTTCCCCCTTTCCCTCCTCTTCAGAGGGCGGGCGGAATCCCAATCTACTTCCGACGCCTTCGTATTTCATGTTTCGACCCAGTTCTTCCGACCGACGGGCACTCTAGGGTCACCGCGAGGGTGCGAAGTTAGTCGCGCTTCGCGATTTCAGAGCGAGGCGCAAGTCCCTTTATGCTGTTCCCAGGGGGGTGGGGCGGCGCGAAAGCGCGAAGAGAATCGCGCGTCGCGCTTCGACGAGCTCGAAGCGCGAAGAGATTCGCAATACCGTCAACCCGCATAAAAAGGATGGGCAACCTTCCCAAGATTACCCTTGCATCCTTGCCTACTCGGCCCATCCTTGGCCGGTTTCGTTGGCCGCGGCCCGCTCGAAAAGTTTCGAAATGGGCGTCCAAGGCCCTTGCATCCTTATCGCGCATCCTTATTATACGGGTTGACTGCAGTGAGGTACTGGTGAACGAGTTCGAGTGGAAGGAGCTCCAGTGGAAGACCCAGATCGAAAACGCGCAGCTGGAGGTCGACGACCTGAAGCGACGGCTCGCCAGCGAGGCCAGCAAGCACCAGCTCCGCATCGAGGCGCTGGAGGCCAGCGCCAAAGAGGCGCTGGAGGCCCGAGCACCTCTCCTCCTCCTCCTCCTCCTCCTCATTCTCCTCCTCCTCCTCCTCCTCCTCCTCCTCCTCCTCCTCCCTCCTCCCTCCTCCCTCCTCCTCCCTCCTCCTCCTCCTCCCTCCTCCCTCCTCCTCCTCCCTCCTCCTCCTCCCTCCTCCTCCCTCCTCCCTCCTCCCTCCTCCTCCTCCTCCTCCTCCCTCCTCCTCCCTCCTCCTCCCTTCCTCCTCCTCCTCCTCCTCCTCCCTCCTCCTCCTCCTCCTCCTCCTCCTCCTCCTCCCCTCCTCCTCCTCCTCCTCCTCCCTCCGCCCTCCTCCTCCTCCTCCTCCTCCTCCTCCTCCTCCTCCTCCCTCCTCCTCGTTCCTCCTCCAGCCGCCACAGGAGGCCAGAGCACCGCCACCGAGCCCCCCGCCGGCACCTGCCGAGCCCGCCCTCGCCCTTGGCTGGCTCCGCTGCCCGGTGCGCAGCGCCGGGCCGCCCCGGGTGGAGCAGCCCGCCTTCTGCCAGGAGCAGCCAGCTTCGCTGGGAGAGTGACCCTTCGCCAGGGTGACTTTTCAAGCAGTGGCGAAGCGCCCTGGCTCGCCTATAGCCCCACAAAATAATGTTCTGAGAACCGTTTGTGGTTTCCAGGGGATGTTCTTAGAACATTTCTGGTCGAGACTGTCTTGTCTTAACACATCGGGAATATGTTCTAAGAACATTGCTTTTGTTCTTAGAACATTTGAGGTTTCTAAGAACATTTCGTGGTAGGATTATAGGAATGCCGGGGCGGTCGGTCCCTGCTCAAACTCTTCTAGTGCAGGCGCACAGTCAGAGCACAGGACAAGGTGCCCATGCCACTGCCGTGCGCCGCCGCTCTCCCCCTTTGGGGGGGGGCCTCCTGGGAGGCCCTACGTCGGAACGCGCCCCGGGAGACGTCCGGGGAGCAGCGGCATCGGCGCTTTCTGGTGTCCCCACGCACGGGTCCCCTTGGCATGGACTTGCGCGCTCGGGTGTGGACCGCGCGCTGAAGGCCATTCTTGCCCAGGGTCATTCTTGCGCGCAGCCGAGGAGACCTGCTGGAAGGTGGTCACCGAGATCTCGGGCATCGTCGCGCTCTGGTGCTCCGTCAGCGAGCACGTTATCAAGCAGGCCTCCAGGGAGGCGAACCGCCTCTGGGGCTCCTCGATGCTTGAGGGGAAGTCGGTGTTCTCCCTGGCCAACGGGCCTTCCAGCGCATCGTGGCTCAAGAAGGCGTTCCAGTCCCACCAGCGCATAGCGGACATGGGCCAGACAGATCGAGGCATCCCTGGGTTCATCGTCCGGGACCTGGGCTCGGAGACCTTCGCCTCCAAGAACGGTGACCCCTTCGACGCCTCCGTCATCACGGCGCACTTCGCTGCCGAGCCAGGGTGTTCAGGGGCAGCGTTAGGGAGGGGTAGCCTCAGGGGGAACGCATCGATCCCCCCATCGCCCATTCATCGCCGACCAGGCTTCCGAGCATTAGCCCACCTCGCCCAGGGGCGTGCGGTCTCGCTGCTGGAGGCCTGTCGCTGATGCATCGGCGAGGTACCTCGGCGGCGCGACCAGTGGGCAGGGCCGCGGGGGCGAGCCTTCTCGGAAGGCGCAGACGGCCTCCAGCCTTCTGGGGGCATGTCTAAGCCTTCTCCGACGCCGCACTGGAACCCTCGGAAGGCCAGATGGCTTCTGAGAAGCCCTGCCTCCTAAGAAGACCTGCCCCCCGCCCCCCCTCACTTACCATCTCGGCGCGCCGTCGACTGTCGCCGATGCATCAGGAATGATCAGGGGGCCAGGTGGCACCACTTCCCCCTACCCCCCCCCCCTGGGCGAACTCTCGGGGAAAACCCGTTTGACTTTTTTGCACCCACCCTACAGCCGACGCGCCTCGCAGGGAAACATTTTTTTCCACCACCCACCCTCCCTCCGCGGAGCCAGAAAATTGGGGATCCCCGTTTTGGCACTGGCCGGCGGCATTGTTTTCGACATACACCCACCCTCCGCGGGCCAACAGAATTGTGGACTGCGATTCGCGTTGAACATCATATTTCCGCGCCCACCCACCCGCCCACCGCACCCCCGCCCCGCCACCATGCGGTATCCGCGGCCGGGCGGGCGGGCGGGCGGCCATGTCTGTACCTTCTCAGCTGGATCGCCCCCACATCCCAGACCCTCAACGTCATGGTTTTCCCAAACCACCCTGTGGTGCTGGGTCCTCGTCTTGAAGATAGGGCCGAACGAAAGGGGGGGTAGGGAAAGGGGGGGTTACGAAATCTGCTGCATGCAGCTGGTTTCGGCCCCGCCGCCGGGCCCATCCCTCGATACATGGGCGCCTCCCGGCGCTGGGAGGCGCTGGGAAAATTAGCTACGTGAGCTGACTCACTACCCTACCCTTTGCTATCTCCCCCCTCTCGTCCCCCCCGAGAAGAGACAGCGCCCCTCTTCCTCCTCCTCCTCCTCATCATCATGAGCTACGTGGACTCCTCATCATCATCAGCAACATCATCACCATCATCATCAGCATCATCATCATCCCATCCCTGCCTCCCATTACCATTACCATTACCACTACCCCTACCACTACCACTCTGCATGTCTCTGTTTCAGCACACCTCTCACACGTTCCGTGGCCCCATAGCCCCATAATGGAGCCCCACCGAATTCCCCAGCGGCAGTGGTCCGCATGGCGCACCCGCACCCAATGCGGCACACCTCTCACACGTCTCGTGGGCCCTCGGGAGGCCCCGAAAACTAGCCGAGACCTCCCGCCAGTTTTTCCCATCACGAAATGGGGTGTGGGGGAGCTGCTGGGCCCTCCCTAATTGCCCCACTCCGCCCGTGAGTGACATCTGCCGATGCGGTTTTTCTTCAACCCGCCGCCCCAGAGATCCCGACCGCTCCCCAGGGCGAAGGTGTTCGGCGCGGAGCGGTTTTTTCGATGGCCTTAAGGGGCCAGACACTGAGACCCTGGCGCTGCAATGTTTCCACAACGGCCGTTTCTGCGAAGTTCGGTGCCCGGGACCCTCACGGGTCGATCCGGCTCAAAACATGGCGCAGAAAGATGGGGTCCGGGGCTCCTGGCGTGATTTCTGGCGATATTTTTTGTTTGTTGCAACGTCGGATCTCCGGGGAGAGCAGATGCCTCGACTTCGGATCCGGCGACTTCGCAAAGCGGGCGGGATTTTCTGCCCCATTGTTCAAGCGCCGCTCATACCGATGTCTGCCCTACTTTGCAGTCGCTGTTTCCGCCATTCCCTTTCGGAACTACTACCAGCCATACTTGTCTGAGGCGGGAATATACGCCTCCTTGCTCGAATTGTTTGGGGCGCATGCCCGACACGGTCTTCAGGCCAGAGAACCAGCCGAAGTGCGACGGAGCCGAAGTCAGGGTGCCCCCCCGAGGGCCGAAGTGGTGGAACCTGCCAGGATTCCAGAGGCCACATCGTTGGCGGAGCTCTGGGCCCGGTAAGGCTCCCGGGCTGCGGACAGACAGGCCCACCAGGTGGCCCTGGTGAACCTCCACGGGTCTCCTGAGCAGTCCCAGCCCGCCTCGGCAGGCCCCCGGAGCAGTCTGAGGCGGTCTCAGCACCTCAACTCCTGGGGCGCCGGCGGCGGTGCCGAGGTGTGGAAACCGCCCCGGGCCATGTTGTGGCCCCCTGCTGGGCCCATCCGGGGCCTGGGACTATTGGTGGGGGCTGGTTGATGCCAGCCTGGACTGCGGCCATCGAACACAGACACACACACACACACAAACACACACACACACACACACACACTCACAAACACAACAACAAGAAATGAAGGGGCCTCGGCCTTTCTGGCCACGGCGGGCCTATAGGCCTCAGACAGGTTCTTCGACATAGATCTGAGGAGCGGCCCGAAGCCGAGCCGCCCCTGAGCCCTGAGCGGTCGTCACTGAAGCGTCCTAGCCCAAAGCCTTACCAGCCGGAGATTCGCCGGGCCTGTCGGGGCCGCACAGCAACGGGGGGCACGGGGAACGCCGATGGCTCGCTGGGCTGTGCTGATGTTCCGGGGGCCCTGGTCGCCACGGACGGGGGCACAGAAACCATGCGCAGATGGAAAAGACTCGGCCCCCGTACCCAGACCCCCGACGTCGTGATTCTTTTCACGTCGGCCCCCAGAGGTCTGGACCCCTTCCCCGGACCGGTTTCTCATCTTTTGCCATTTTTGACGCTCCTGGGGCCCGGTGAGGGCCCCCGGGGGCCAAGAATAACGACAAGCCGGCCGTCTCGATTCTTCCACAACGCGAGGGGATCTGGGTCGTGCGTGCTCCGGCAAAAAAGTGCCCCCGGAGCCCGAACATGGCGGAACATGCCCCGTCGTTCTTTTTTCACAGCGCGAGGGGGTCTGGGTAGAGCTGTGCCCCCGCCTCTGCGCGAGGCCCCTGGGCCCTCGCCCCCGAGGTGCGGGAGGCCAGGCGGGGTGCTGGTCATCCTGGAGCGCCTGGAGCTGAAGCCAGCCCTCGGCGGCTCCGCGGCGCACGCTGCGGGCTTCGCCGAGGGCGCGCAGCCGTCTCGCCCCAGGACCAGGGGCGGGGAGGAGCCGTGGCGCGACGCGGGGCTACGATAGGTTCGCGCGGCATTGGCGCGCCAGCGACGCTGGCGGAGGCGCTCAAGGTTGAATTCTGCGACGCGGAAGCACCGGTGGACACGGTAATGCCATTGTGCCCGGCTGAATTCAACCTTGAACGATCGGGGCCGCGATCGATTCAAGGTGGAACGATCGACGCGGTGTCAAAAACCTTTGCGCGCGCCGACGCCGCAGGAACCTATTGTACCCTTGAGTCGTGCCTGTCCCTCTACAGAAGGAATCTTCCAGAATAGGTAAACAAGATTGTCAGGGGACGGTTTGTCTTAGCTTTGCTTGCTTATTGTGTGTTTGCATGCTTTGGGTATGTGTTTGGTTTTTCGTCCAAAGTTCCCCTGTAGGAGGACATGCCCGACCTAAAGCTACCCATGCATGAGGCGATCCAGAACCTCAGAGATCCGACGCTCCAACAACACTGCAGCGGCCGGTTTCTGGCCGTTTTCGGCCTCCGGGGGCCCTCGCCTGCCCGCGCCCGAAAAAAAACACGGATGAAGAGGCGGATCGAGGAGCAGGAGGCCGGCTAGAGGGGACAGGGGCGAGAGCACGGCTGCGTGCCGCTTGGACCGAGCGTGTAGCCAGCACGGGGTGCTGCAGCAGGGGGTCGGGAGGAGGAGGAGGAGGAGGAGGAGGAGGAGGAGGAGGAGGAGGAGGAGGAGGAGGAGGAGGAGCGACGAGATGGCGATTCCGGAACGACTTGTAAGGAAGTCCAAGGCGAAACGGCTGCACTTGTCACACTTAGCTGAACCCTCGAGCGAGACGTTGTTGGGAAAGCACAGTAGTTCTGGATCAGAGCGTCTCGTCAGCGGTCGGGCTTGTCCAACGGACGAGCTTTGAGATTCTCTATCGTTTTCGTCAGTTCTCTACGGTTTTCCAGCCTCAGGATGCTTTCCAGCAGCTGCGCCTCGCCGAGAACGTTCTGGGGGTGCCCAGATCGTTCCGAACGGCCACCGGAAAGTTGAGCTATGACCCGGAAGCCAGGGGGCAGGTGATGCCAGGGAGACCGAAGCACTGACCTGACTCGTCGCGTCGGGATCTCGAGACGGCATTTCCACGGCTGATTGGCAAGGTCAGTGCTCGGGCGGCTCCCGTGGCACGCAAGCTTGGAGCCCAGCTCTGCCTCGATTGTTTGCCGTTCCCTAGATACCGTTTTAGAAGATGATCCTGACCTCGGAGTAATGCTCGGCCTTCTTGGGCGGCCGAAAGATTATCACCAGAATCTGGCCCATGTTGCTCGCCTTCGCGTCGGCCGCCCCCGCCCAGTCCGTGCTCGCGCTGCAGGGGTGCCCAGGGCTTCCGCCAGGAGATCCTCCGCCGCGGTGGGCGCAACCGCCGTCCTCTCCTGCCCGTCCGCCGCCCCTGCAGCGGGGGTGCCCTCCGAGCGCGGCCGCGGCAGACTGTGCGGCAGCGACTTTCGTTCCTGCGGGCCCCGACGGGAGGCGTGATTCGCCTGTCGCTGCCGTAGGCGCCCTCTGCGTGCTCCGACAAAGACAGCGGGCGCCGCCTCACCCAGACCCCCGACATCGTGATCTGGTCACGACGTCGACACCCAGAGGTCTGGACCCGGCCCCGGGGACCGGTTTTTCATCCCGAGTCGTCTTTTGACGGTCCCCAGGCTGCCAGGGCCCGGTGAGGCATTCCCAGGACTGGGAATAC